TATTTATAAATCATATTATTAAATGAGTTAATATATATAATATTACTTATTTCAAACAATTAAAAAGATTCAACTTAATTTTGTTTGCACCCCTAAGAAAAGGAAGATTTGCGAGAAAATTTCACGTCCGTTGGCCGACTTGGTTCGCTTACTTGTCCGCGGACTAGGCTGCGGAACTGTTCCTACTAGTCTATTCCACCCCGCTCACTTTTTTGAGTGAATTTTCAATGCGTAAATAATTTTTTTTTTTTTTTGATTGAATTTTGATTACTTTTTAACAGGACAATTTGGAGAAATAGGAAATGAGATCCTGTAAGGCCTAAATACGCACCAAAAACTGATTTCTACTTAACCAAAGGTTGTAACCACTAGACGGGGTGTGGGGATCAATTGAATTTTGAATGTGTACATGGCAATGAGATTTGAAGCATTTAGTCAATTTTTCTTCGGGTTTGATATCGTAAAGTATATTCACTACTTAAGGAAAAAAAAAGGTTTATAGAGGAATAATAGAAAATAGCTTATAATAATAATCATAAAAAATTTCGTCATATGTTCAAAGATCACATTTGAGATTTCAATCACTAAATTAAATATCCAATATAATCAGGTTTTTACATAAAATTCTCATGTCTTTAATATTTTTCAAAACACATGTCCACACTGCATGAAATATATCAACCACGAACTCATAAAATAACATGGCTAAAAGTAAAATAAGGCAAATAAGCCTAGCCAAGCTAACTTGCAGGTTGCAGCATGAGTTAAGACTACAAATGAAATTATTTACCAAGAACTACACATTTTTAGACGAAGCATTTTTTATGCTAATGAATTTTTTTATCAAATAAAATTATTTAATAAAAACTTCTTATAGAAGAAAAAAAATCTCAATTCTAATTTATATATTAAAAAATTATTATATAAAAATACAAATAAAAAGAAAATCAAACAACTAATATTTTAAATCTTACTTGTTACTCAAAGCAAAGGCACTTCCCGTTCCAATCTCCAATAGCAATAAAATTCATGAGGTCATTTTTGACGTTTGAGAAATATAGCACAGTGATTGGTTGGAAACTGGTAGATCTTGCTGCTTACTCAAAGTCACCAGACATGGCCATTGATAGCAAGTAGAATGAGCAGAAGCTAAACATCACTTTTCAGTTCACAAACACATTGCTACTGGGCACGGTCCCATAACTGGGCACGGTCCCATAACTGGGCACGGTCCCATAACTGGGCACGGTCCCATAACTGGGCACGGTCCCATAACTGTCCCCTGGATTGTCTGAATCTGAATGTGAATCTGAATCTGAATCTGAATCCCCCCGTTTGAGCACATCGCCTAATGTGGTGTAGTATTTAGTTCCAAGACCCATATGATTCATCAACAACCAAACCAAAGTGAGAAGTTCTCCACCTCGACTGGGTTGTTTTGCGTGGATATTAGGCCTGCAATTAATAGCAGCATAATACATTAATTCTACCCAAACTAGGCTCATTTCCTTCCACGGGTAATGGTTCTTCTGCTGCTTGAACCCGCGTGCAAGCTGAACTGCAGAAAACAAAGTATCTTCTTCGCCTTTCTTCATGTCAAGTATGTCTTCGCAGGCCATCTTTTCATTTGAACAACTCCGACACACTTCTGACCGAATCCTTTTCAATGTCTTTCTAAACACGGTGTTCCAATTGTCCAACACTGTAGCCATCATGGTGTGCTGCATCATCGCAAGGTAAAACATATAATCTGAAAGAAGCTTGCAAAATTTTCTGTAATCTGTCCTCCCATGCTTGGGCTCGTACTGCTCGTCATTTTGGTAGCATATTTCAGTAGCTATATGCCACACCAGAAGGCATTTCGTGTAATCTAATTTTTTAATCATTTCCCACTGCTCAAGTTCCAAGACGCGCTCCCGAATTTCATCACCTCTTCCTAACCAAACTTCTTCGATGTCTGTATTCTTTGGAAAACGTTTCAAGTCGTAATAGATAAAACGCCAGTGTTTGCAATCTAAATTCTGGAAGGATTGACAGTGGATTCCTTTAATGTCTTTCACCAAAGCCCTCAAGTCACGAATATCATCCAGTTTGTTCATGATCAACCAAACTGGCATATCCTTGACATGGTAAGTTATCACATTTAACTGGGAAACTTCATTAGACCACCTGTCCTGCCTATCAAAAACCTTTCCATTAGATCTTTGGAAGTGAGAAATGGCGAGCCAATCAGAGTGTTTGAAGAGTAACGTGATAGACAGGAAATCCAATGCCAAGGCTCCTACTAACAACCCATATGTCAGCAACATGTCAAACTCTCCCAACTGGTAGTGCCTCTTAGCTAATGAGAATAAAACCAATGCTAGTAAGATGCAACCGTAAGTAGCCATACGGAGACAAATTCCACTTTTGGTATCGATCACGGGCAGCTTGGTGTGAAGAAGCTCATACAATAGGCTTAGCTCAATCTTGAGTACTCGGAGCGCCTCCTTGCTACTCTTGATCTTAAGAAACCTTCCTCTGATTATCTTTTGTTCTGGTTTCGTTAGAAGAGGGCCTACAAGTGCCCTCTTTAAATTGCCAAATAGTTGAACCGCAGTTCCAAGTCTTGATTCGGGATCCTCCACGCCTTGGAATTGTACTGGAATGCGACTTCCAGTTCCCATTTTTCTTTCATCATCTACCGTCTCGCCTTCTTTTTCCTTATCTTTCATGTTGACATTGAAAGATCCCCAATACATTCCAAGATGGGCAAAGCTTGCACGATAAAGTGCAAAATTGCGCTCTGCACACTTGGTTATGCCCGCAAATAACACTAGGATGGTTGGGAGCCGAAGCTTGTTCTTTGAGAAGGAATTCGAGAAGGCGTTGAGAGGTAAAAATAGGTGTAATAGAAGCCAAAGCAAGCGCCTTTTCCACAACTCATTATCCTCTTGAGCATAAGAGGTAATGCTGTCGGGACCGCCAACGTGCAAAAAGAGAAAGGATGCCCAAAATAGCAGGATGTCTGTAGGAAGTCCGGTTGATGTTGAAGTTATACGCTTGCTGCTGAAGATAAGAACCATAGTATGTGCAGCAACCTTGTCTGAGAGCAAGTACGCCAACCAAATCAACCAGCGAATGAAAGGCCGTTTTCTCCCAGTTCCTTCCTTTCTTAACCGTGCAAACAGAATCAAGAAGGCCTGTAGAGAGAGGCTTAGAATAATGAGTACTCTAACATTCGTTGCGACTGACAGCATCGCTGCGCCTAACAGCATCTCTGCGCCTAACAGCATCTCAGCATGTCCTGTAACAGAGAGCGCCATCCTCTTCTTTCCTTGATTTCTTAGCAGGGTGAGATCTGAAGCAGATACATAGGAATTAAATATGTTGGCTTTTGTTTTGTTTTTTTTTTTAAATAGAAAAATATGTTGACATATCAAATGATGATGATTCCCTTATCCCATTTTAATCCCGTTTCCATCCAGGAATAGGGGTGAGCACAAAGCCTGCAACCGATCGGGCTACCAACAACCGACCCGAAAAAATAGTGTTCCGTTTTGAACAAACGGGCTTCAGGCCCAAATGTTCGGTGGCGGCCTTGGCACGATTTCAAACGGGTCGTGTTCGGTTCCTAACACCAATGTTTTGAAAACCGATCAGGAGGTCCAACCGTTTTGACTTCTGGTTCTCAATTTGACCGGTTTAACCGTTCAAACCGTTGATTTAACTACATATGAATAAATATAACATGGTGTGATTATTTAACAAGGCAAGTGTTGTGGCTGGACTAGTTTGCCACTTCACCCATCACAATTATGGAAGCGCGTGTTCGAGTCTGATGGGCATCAAAATGTTATTATCACATTTCTAAACCTTTCAAGTAACTTAATTTTTTAATTATTTTATATAAAAAATTATAAAGAATAATTTTAAATTAATTAATTAATCAATTAAAATCAT